AGTTGCAGTTGTTTCACAATATTCAGTTTTACAGAAACAATATTGACTTTGTTTGTAAATATCTGTGGGGTTTGGGCCTGTTATTTGAAATTGGACAGCATTTGATTGTTGTAATAGAGGATTCTACTTGAAAGTAACTGTGTTTTAATTTTTTTTAAATTAAACTCTTAATTTTCATATGTATCCACTTAAGACACTTCCTTAAACTCATTACAAACACTGCTTTCAGCTTACCAGAAATAATGTACATGGTTTAGGTTCTTTTTGTAGAATATGGCAATTTTGTCTGAGAATTTTGTTGGTAAGGCAAGGGTTACTGCTTCTTAACAAACAATTCAAACAGGGAAAAAAACCCCAAACTTCCGGGTTGATATTTAATAGTTTAAGGTGCCATTCAGCCATGTCTTGTTTTTTTTATTTCTTCCGCTTCACGTTCTTACATGGAAAAGTTTAACATGTTTAGGCAAAATAAAAGAATGTGAGGAAAGCAGAGTGTTTTCATTACTAATGCTCTTCTACGGACCCCAAAACTTCTGCTGTAGCTAACTTTACTCTCTTTGTACTAAGCAATTTAAAACTGAGTGGTAATTACCTTAAATTTAATTTGTAGTGTTGGTTAATTAGCTTCTTAGTATAGAATTTCACAGAAGTCATGAATCTTCGTGATTGGATTGGTCTTGCAACAGAAATTGTTGCTTTTAAGAACTTTGTGCTTTTGCTTTTTTCGCCTCGGTTAAATTTCTGCAAAAAGTTGAAGATATAAAATAGTAGTAGAGATATTGGCCCTGCCTTCTCTATGTGTTCTTTATATGAAATATTTTTATCAACTTGGAAAGTTAAGAATTTTTTATTATAAACTAATAAACTTGTGTTGAAAATAGTTGTGAATCAGAAATGCAGTTTTCTTCACTAGGTAATTTTCTCATTTGAAAGCAGCTTCTTATTTTATCTACGCTTTCCTTCAGGAGATACATATAATTTGTTGTCAGTGTCTCATGGTTTCAGCTTAGTTTAATAGATGAAGACTCTGGATAGCTCTCCTCTTAGAGTAGAAAATTAGTATCCTAATACAGTATTTAATGCAAAATACAAAATATAATTCAGAAAAAATGGAATTACAGCTGAAAGGTGCCTGTTCATCACGTTGTAATGGGTTAGTTTTTCTGGAGTCAAAGATTTTGGTAGATATCTGAAGTGAAGCAAAGTTCATGTTAGCGTTTCAGCCTTTTAAAAGTACTAGCTTCCCTATGAGTGCTACAAACTGTGAAGGCCAAATGAGAAAGCAGATGTAGAACTGTTTCTGAGGAATGGTGATATTAGTAGGTAGTGGCATAGCAAAGTCAGTAGTGATTGTTCTTGCCATTCTTACTTTCTGTTTATTTACTTTACAAAGTATTTTTAACCTTTCAGTGTTAATGAACTGGCTCACCACTGAAGGGGTGGCACAAGACCAGGCAAGTCACCAGGGTGTTGGGAGAACAGAATAGCTTTATCTCTAGAGGAGAAAAAAAGTGTGAGGCTACGGATAGTGGCCAAACCATTCAACTGTTTCTCTCATATTAAGCTAATACTGAATTATTGTTAGTAGCACTGGTATTAATATTTTGGATTTAGTGGTCTTTCAGAATAAAAGGATGTGTTGGAAGCACACCTTCTGTCCCTTAGCAGAATCTGAAATAAAAGATCTCAGTGTCTTATCTGTAACTTTGGCACAAGCAAATTTGTCTATATCCGTTAGGAAGGTATCTGATTCGCTTCTGTGGATGGTCCACCTGGGGAAAGGAACTTCCTAGTACAGTTGATTATTTTGTTAATTCGGTGGGAATCTGTAATAATTTGAAACTCTGACAGACATTACACTGTTGT